GTAGTGTAGGTTTCTCATAATAAAAGCATGATTGAATTGTAACAAAATGAAAGTGAATAGTTGAGAGAAATTGTTCTGCTCTACATTCTGCGATGCCCTTATCCTATTTCTTTTAAGCCCCAGTGCTAGTTAGAAGAGTCTCTGACTTCTTCAAGAAACGTGACTTGACAATCGTCGGTTAGTGTCGATACTTGTAAACCCGCTGAATCAATATAACTTGTATATATGGAAATAAGCTATATAAATTTAAGATAAAAGAGAGGTCCTCATTCTTGTTTCAATGGCAGATTTTTTTTTGTGTGAGGCATTTTTCTTTATAGATACATTAAAAAGCACCAATACCAATTCCCAACGTAAACTGAGTGTAAAGTAAATTTCATATTATGTTTGACCTTCTATTCTATTGCGACAAATGCGGCCACACGAACCCGATTTGGAATCGCAGTTCGTTCCGTATAAAAAACTATCGCGTATTCACGTAAAATTGGGATAACTTGTCACAAAGTGATCAGCTAAGGTCACAAGGATAAGGAGCGATAAAGAAACGTATGCTGAGTAACGTTAATACTAAATAGGGAACTTCATGGAGATTATCGTCTCAAATTGACGTCAGCTCCTACCAAACACCATACATAAGAATAATCTTGTGGACAAAGTGCACAAAGCAAAAAGACAAACAGTTATAAATACGTCATTATTATCATATTTAGAGTAAACTAAATGCTCAAAAAAAAAATTTTTTTTTCTTCAACAGTTTTCGCACTCGATAATTAATTTTTAAAAAATAGCAAAAAGTAGCTTTCAAACAAAAAAAAGTAGTAAAAAAGTAGCTACCGAAAAATTAAACTTGACGACTAAAAAAACTCGTTTTCGACATTACACAAAACTAACAAAATTTCCATTCTCTTATATATTTTATTTTCCTGACTTTTTCCTAATTTTCATCAAAAATATTTACTTCTTTCTTATCCTGCTAATAAATTAAATTCCTGGAACGAATTTTATTATTCATGAAAGAATTTAAATAGTAACTTAATTCTTGCGAAGAATTTTATAAAAAATTTTAAATATTATTGATTTCTTTCGACTAATTTCATGCCAATTTCTATTTATATAATTGAATTCCTGAGAAATTTTTATTATTCATGAAAAGAATTGAATTCTTACGAAGATTATTACAATATTTTTTTTTAATAGTTAAATTCTGTTTGGAAATTTTTAGAAAATTTTTAAAAATAATTAAATTTTACAAAAAATTCTATTAAAAATTTTTACAATAATTGAATGTCTATGTGGCATTTCATTAAATTTTTTTGAAAATAATTGAATTTCTAAAAAGCATTTTATTATTTATAAAAATAATTGAATTCTCGCCAACTATTTGATTAGAATTTTTTTAAATAATTGAATTTCCAAGAAAAAATTTATTACTTTTAAAAATAATTGGATTTTCTGGAATAATTTTGTTATTTATCGACATAACTGAATTTTTTCAAAGAATTATTTCTGTGAATAATTGAATTCTTGGGAAGAATTTTATTAAAATTAAAAAAAAATAATAAATAAATAAATAATATAAATTAAATAAATAATATAATATAAATAATATAATTAAATATAAATATTATTTATATAAATAAATAAATAATAATATAAATATAAATGAAATGAATATATAATTTAAACATTTGAAAATAATAGAATTCCTGTGAAGAATTCTACAATTTTTGTAAATAATTGAATTCTTCCAAAGAATAAAAAAAACATTTTTTTAAATAATTGATTTTTTCGAGGAATTGAAATTAAAGTTTTAAGAATAATTCCATTTTTTTAGCAATTCCTGTAAAATTGTATTAAAAATAATTGAAATCCTGCGAAGAATTTTATTATTTATGAAAATAATTGAACAGTTGCAAAGAATTTTATTAAAATTTTGAAAAATAATTTAACTTCTTAGAAGAATTTTATTGTTCATGAAAATAATTGAATTATTCTGAAAAATTTTCTTAAACAAATTTAATTTCTGTGAAAAATTTTGTTATTTTTTAAAATAATTGAATTCTTGTGATGAATATTGTTATAATTATGAAAATATAATTGAATTTTGTAAAGAATTTCATTTAAATGCCTCAAAATAATCGAATTTTCGGGAATAATTTTGTTATTTATCGACATAATTGGATTTTTTCGAACAATTATTTCTATAAATAATAATTGAATTCTTGGGAAGAAGTTTATTAACATTTTAAAGAAAAATTGAATTATTTCAAAAAATTTTAATTAAAATTGTACGATTTAAAATAATTGATTTCTTTCAAATAATTTTATTAAAATATTTGAAAATAATAGAATTTCTGTGAAAAATTTTAATATCTTTGTAAATAATTGGATTCTTCAAAAGAATTTTAAAGAACATTTTTTTAAATAATTGATTTTTTTATGAAATTGAAATTAAAGTTTTAAGAATAATTACATTTTTTGAGCAATTCCTGTAAAATTGTATTAAAAATAATTGAAATTCTGCGATGAGTTTTATTATTTATGAAAACAATTGAATAGTTGCAAAGAATTTTATTAAAATTTTCAAAAATAATTGAATTCCTGAGTAAAAGAATCTTGTTTAAAATTTTATCAAAAATTTTTTTAAAAAATTGAATTTCCATGAAAAATCTTATTAGCGAAAGTAACTGAATTCTTGTGAAGAATTGTATAAAATTTTTGTTAAATAATTGATTTTTTCGAAATTTTTTAAAAAATTCTATTCTAAATTAATTGAATTCCTTTGGAAATTTTATTATTTATGAAAATAATTGAATTCTGGATGAAATTTTATAATTTTTTTTTAAATAATTGAAATCTTTTGCGAAATTTTATGTAAATACTAGATATTGTAAATAATTGAATTTGGGATATTTTTTTGTGGCTGAAATCTAAAAAAAGTAACCAAATAGTAGCATAACGTAAAAAAGTAGTAAATAGTAGGTTTTTGTAGATGAGTGCGAAGCCTGCTTTTAATGTACTTTGGTAAAATTTGAATCAACCCAACTTGGCCCCAACGGGGATTCCCCAAAGTATTTCCAAACTAAAATTTAATTCGATTTTCCGATATAAATTTACATATAAATTTTTTTATTTCCACTATCTAAAGAAATTTTATATTTTATTTCTTATAATATTATATTCATTCTCCACTCATATAAAGTCAAATTTTTGTCATTAATTATAATGTCCTCAACAAACAATTTATTAATATCTTCAATTTTATCAGTATCAGAAATGACAGTGGCGAAATTTTGAGAATTGCTTTCAGGAAAATTAAATATAGAATTCCAGAATCTTATTACGTGCTTCTTGAGAATGACAACTCTGATACATAAAAGTCAATTGTGTTATTTGTTGCACAATCAGATAAAATGATCTGTCATCAATTTCATTTGATAAAGCATTAACTAAAGATTGTATGCTTTGATAATCACCTTGCTTAAATCCGGATTTTATTCACATTTTATGCGGAAGTGTTGAATATTACTTGTAATAGGATGAATTGCTCAAAACAATAATTATATAACACAATTCTGTAATTGTAAATTATTATAATTAGTAATTAATCATTACATTTTATTAAAAATTACACAAACATTATTGAAATTTAAAAAAAATTCATGCTAAGTTTCAATCGACAATATTAAAATAATATTTTTTATTAAATCAATATTTAACGTCTGAGTAGATAATATTCAAATTATAGGGAAGTAGTAAAATGAAAACATTCGGACAAGTAGCTTTTAAATTAAAAATTTTCGGAATCTAAGTGATTTCCTTATCAAAAAGTCTATCAAAATAGACATATAAGAATGTAAAAATTAACCCAAGTATAAATTAAAATTAAAAGATTTGAAATAAAAATATCATAAATACAATAATAATTAGAAGTAAAAAATAATTTTAAATTAAAAATATTAAAGGACAAAAGAATTACAGGTCGATTCCATTTAAATACAAACATGGTATGTATAGTAGTAGCTAAGTCAGGGAATATTGATTTTTAAATAATTTTAGACGACTCGTATTTGTTTGTTTTGCAGGAAACACTTCTTTAACAAAGTTATGCGCATTTCGAAATTTTAAACTACAAAGTGCAATTGCAAGAAAATGACGTAAAAGTATTTTTAAACTGTAATATTTAATATTTTTGCTCTTAATATTATATTCCAGACTCCTTTTCTTTCAGTTCTTTTACCAGCTTTTGAATGTGAAACTTATGGCACTTTTTTAAAAAAATTAAATTTTCTCCGAACTGACTAAACCATTCAAGTTCAGGAAAAAGTATGTTAAAAGGGAAGCAAAAATGCATTTAAAAAAATTTGGTGGTAAATTTTGTGCAATGGAAGGGGTACCGAAAAAAATATTTTTACTTTTTAGATTTTTAAAAATGTTAATTGGCTTGACCCAATCGCCATATATTTAATATCTTACATTTTTTCATACAAGGAATAACATATTCTTTTTTCACGCTGATGAGAACATTAGATTTTAAATTTTTCTAGAAAAATCGCAGCCATTTTGTTAAATTTCAATATTTTTTAAAAATTAACTTATAGATTTTAAACGAGCATATAAGCCATGATTAAGGGCAAGAAGAATAATTTTATTGTATGTGAAAGGAAAAAAGATATAATATAATTTAAAAATATTTTTACGTCAGTTTCTAGGAATCGCACTTTGTAGTTTAAAATTTTTAAATCCTCATAACTTTGTTAAATAATTAATTCTGTAAAACAAAAAAGTACGGGTCATCTCAAATTGTTTAAAAAGCAATATATTTCCATGGAAAAATGATTCTCTCACCTGACTATACACAGTCTATTGGAATTGAAAAGGAATTGACCTACAATTCTTTTTTCTATTAATAATTATTATCTTTTGTACTACAGTATAATTTTTGATTATAAAGTTATGCATAAAAGCCACAAGAAGTAAGATATTAAAACTTGTTACAGGATTTACTCACGGAATGACGAATTTTGACAGTATGATAGATGAGGAATTGGATAGTGATCAAGTATCCAAACAACAAATTGCTAGTGAAGATGAGTTGCCTGTGACAAATAACCGAACGAAGGAAGAGCAGACAGTTTACGTCATCGAATTCGAAACCGAGCCAGATGAAAAGGATGAAGTACCTAGAAAAAGAGGCAAGGACGGTAGAGTTGGTATGTCGATTTTTTCTCTTCAACCCTATAATATAGATTATTAAGATTTCCTATCCCAGAGCGACTCTTAACTAAAATTGACAATTTCTTGACCAAGAACATGATCATTAGAAATGGAAGTGACTGAGATCCCCGGAGGGTCGTTGCACGTGCTGAAATCATTATCTTCATCTTAGAGTCATACTCTTCCTTCGTGAATTAGTTGTGACTTCTGGGCATTTCTTAACCTCATACAGGTCTCTTCATGACATTTGCTCACATTTGCTTTTACCCTCGACAACTTTGATCTCAATAAAAATGCTTTTTTTAAAGTTTATTATGTACTTATAAATTTTCCGCACTTAAATTATTTGTATATTAATGTTTTTTTAACCTTTCGCTATCTCGATGGTTAGTGTTAAAAAAATTTAACGAATTAATTGGATTAGATAACATTTTTAAAAAAATTGTTACTATTTATTGGTAAAAATGGTTGTATCTATAACTTCTTTAGGCTTTCATCTTATCGCTTTGATAGCAGTTTTTTTTAAATATCAGCAGTTAATTGTTTAAAGAGCTTGAAAATGAGATTATTAACTCAATAAATTTACTATTCATAATTTAAATGCATATTTGTGTATACTTATTTTTTATGACTGCTAACGTAACTGAGTTCGTTGCAATTTTTTTTCTCTTGATAAAATAAAAATTTTGATTACTTTTGCACAAAGAAATGTACGCAAGTTATCTACGATTGTGAGTATCATTGTTTATTTTCAGAATTTATACTTAAAAAGTGATAATCGTGTCTTTTCATTAAAATAGTATTCAAGTATATCAGGAGTCTGAGATAATTATTATTATAATGAAAATAATGTGCTATAATTCATATCATTTCTTTTGTGAAAGGACATAGTTTTGTCGTGCATCACATAAAATATTTGTATAAATTGGCTTGCAGGTTGTCCCACTTGCGTTTTTTTATTCTAGAAGTGCCATAATTAAAAACACGACTGATATTGACAATATATTGATATTTGACAACAATATCAATCGTGTTTTTATTTATGGCACTTCTAGAATAAAAAATAACACAAGTGGAAAAACCTGCAAACCGGGACAACCTGCAAGCCTTTCCCTCTAAATATTACGAAATTTATTTAATTTGATTTTTATTTTTGGTCGAGAATGAAATATTTCAATCTTTCGCTGAAATATATCTCAATTATTCAGAAAATATTATGTGTGCTGTGTGGGCACCTATATGACTCACAGACTGACATTCACATTTGTAAACACACATAATACAATATTTTGTGCAATAAAGGCGTGTTGTGGTCATTCCACGCTAATAGATCACATTTTAAACTATTCAATCTAATGGGTATACTTGCTCAAAAGTTGTCCTTAGGTTGTCTTTTTTTGGACGTCTTCTAAAATTTTAAAAATACATTTTTATGTTTGGATATGTGATCACTTTTTATAATGATTACGAAAACTATGTAATGTCTTAAAAATTGAGTAGAAGTTATTACTATATAGCTGTTATATGGAGTAATATAGACTATTATAATCATTAAGAATAAATTTTTCTCTGTGTAAAGATGCTTTTTTTTCTATTTAGTATGTTGTTCTAATTATACTGTTTGAAAGTTCAGCCCAAATTTCTGGAGAAAAATCAGAATTAGAATCAAAATATACGTCAATAAAACATAGTCACAAAATTTTACTACTCTTTCGTCATCAGGAATAATTGCCATTAAATTAACAAAAAAAAATCCTCTACATTTTGAGGATCCAAAAATGGCAAACCATAAAGTAATTTTAAAAAATTTCTAATCTCTGAATTTTCTCTGGAATATTCTCTCACTAAATTTAATTCTTGTATTTCCTTCAAAAAATGTTGGGTTAAATGAAAACGGCAGCCTTTTATAATAATTGTTTAAGAACATAAGCGAATGGCATTATGAATAGCTTTCTCGAAATCTACAAACACAATAGATGGTGAAAATTGTAATTTAATTTTAGAACATTCAGCTATGAAAATATCAAACGCTTTTTGATATGATGCTGTTATTTTGTCAGGTAGGAGGAAAAAAGCTAGAGGAATATAAATGTTTTCATGATTCAAGTTTAAAAAAATGTTAAATGTCATGTAATGTTTTTCATATATTTTGCGGTACAAGTATCTAAAGAAATTTTCTTTTTGCAGTTTATGGAGAGACACAAAGTCCCCTGGATCCATGGTCGATAGTATGGTACATTGGATCATTTGGAGGTTTGGTGGCTTTTTTTTTAATAGTCAGCTGCTCTGAGTGGTGTTGTCGAAGAAACGCCAGGCCTATGAGCGTACCTTATATTCAGCGTGGGGAGGTCATTAGTGGAGCACAAGGAGTTGCCGAAACTCCTCCGCCACCTTATCATCTTTTTGCACCTCCGCCTTATGATTCGATTAATTATTCCGACCTCTCTGATAAGGCTTCAGGAGAGAAGCTCGACATTTACGTGATATCCGTACCTATCCACAACACTGTAAATCAGGTGCCGGCGTAGGATCATTTACGATCATCCTCTGAAAGAGGATGACCCCATCCATTCTCACGAGGCATCGAAAGTGTCGAATCTCTTTACAATCTCTGATATTGTACCGCCTTTTTCTCTATGAAAAAGAAGAAGAACAAAAAATAGGACCAATCACCAAGCCTAAGAAATATCAAGAGATGATGTTCCAAATGCGTTGAAGCGAAAGTCACGCAAATTATTTTCCCCGAATTTTTCACTATGAAAAATAATACGTGATAAAGTGAACTGTACACCTCACCGAAATGTAAAATATTACTGTGGAAAATTTTCATGAAAAAAAGTGATATTAGTCGCTTCACAAAAAGTTTCCTTCGCGGAAATATCATTCCGATAGTGTCAATGAGTAGAAAAAAATATTAAACGATTCCAAAGCATATCGTTGGAAACATCAATAAGAGTCGAAAATCTCCGTTACGCTAAAAGCGAGCGCTATTGATTTAATTATAAGATACCGAAAACTTAATCAAGACGAAGATTTCATTTTTACGTCTCGTAGCGAATATTACGAGTACCAAAGACTGATTTCGCGTTTATTCTATGGGCGAAAAAAAATGTAAAGAACATATTTTTAAACTGTAAAATAGCATAAAGGAAATGTCATCTAAATGTCGCTAGTCACATTGGAAACAAAGTTTTTAATTTAAGTAATTCATTACTTAACTATTAAAAAAGTATATGCAGTGAAGTAACTTATTTATTTATTTGAGTATGGTGAATTAATGGATTACTTAAATTTTTGTCAGTGCATAAAGAATAATAATTATTGACTGTTAAATAAAATTGTTTGAAAGTATATAGCATAAAATAAAAATAATATTACCTCTCTCGTAACCTTGAGGCAGTGACTGATAAAAGTAATCATTATCGACTTTTGATTTCATTATTTAAAAAATATTCTTCTTCACCAGTTTTAATTTGTTTTTTCAAATATATTTAGCAAAAAAAAAACAAATCAAAATGAATGAAAAATATTTAAAATTGTGACAATTCCGCTTACTTTTTAATTAAAATAGATTGAAAAGAATTCACTATGTAAACACTGAAATTGTTTCGATTTGTCGTACTTTACAGAGCACTAAAAAATTAAACCACTATTATATGAAATCCCAAATGCACGACAGTAAGACGTAATGGAGCAGCGTTTTAATGACTGATTACATCGCGGCAATGAGATCTTATACATATTTTACCTGCGTCTATAGAGTATCTAAAAAATGTACATTTTCATAAAATATTAAGATTTTCAGATAAAGTTTTTCTGATTATTTAATTACCATTTTGTTTATGATAATTAATTTTATAGTCAGGAGAGAAAAATTCCAAGACAAAAGTGCCAATTTTAAAATCTTTAATGTCGCTAATTACGAACTTGGAGTCAGATTTTAAAAATTCAAAATGGCGGATCCAATATGTCGGACGAAAATATTATAAATCTAACGGATTAGCTTAAAACTTGGTACTAAGGGGTTTTTGGGGTCGCTGATTACGAATTTGAAGTCAGATTTAAAAAATTCAAAATGGCTGACGAAAATATTATTCATCTAACGGATTTACTTAAAACTTATTACACAGGGGTTTTTGGGGTCGCTGATTACGAATTTAAAATCAGATTTTAAAAATTCAAAATATTGGATCCATATTTGTTACATTGATTAGTCTCAGTATTATTAACACCTTCTTTAAAATGGTTAAAATTTTATTCTCTTTTAATTATTTAAGCCATTTTAGTCGAGAATTTTGTGCAACGGATTTTACAGTCCAGTCCGATCATAGAAATGGAAAATTAGACCGTTGATTTGAAAGTGAGTAAAGGGTAATATAAAAAGTTGATAAGATATTAAAAAGGAAAACATTGTTTTCTCGAATAACTATAAAAGAAAATTCATACCCTTTTCCTCTTTTTTATCCCCTTAAATGATTAAAATTCCCTAAAACACCTGAAATCATAAATTTTCTCAACATTTTCCTTTATTTTCAAGAAAAAACGTGTAAAAATTATCATTTTTTGTAAGTTAGTAATTTTTTAGTTATGCTTGAAGAAAATATTTTTATTTTTCGCAAACTTTGAAAATTTTTTTTTTATTTTCTCTTTAAATTATTTCTCAGTGTCTTTAAACTTGTAAATTTTGCCAAAAATGGTAAAAAATATAAGATAACTTTTTTGCAACTCAGACTTTATTATGTATTGACCGCTGCTCACAGGTCAATAAAGTACTCATTATTACCCTAGGGAAATAATGGACACTTTTACTCAATTAAAAGTATATTTTACTAATTATATTAATGAAATTTACTTCTATTACATTATATATTACATATATTAATTTACTTTGGAAATAAAGATTTTTCATAGGAAAATTTACTATTTTAAATGTTGATTTCTTAATAAAATTTATTTAAATTTTCCTCAAACATTACAATTGGCTATTAAACATTATTTTTGAGTAAATTTTAGCTATAAAGTAAATTTTTTTAATTTTTATAAAAATAATTGTCTTTGAAAATAGTAAAAGTTATTCTGGAAATAGCAATTTTTGATATGAAATTTTATTATTTTTGAAGGAAATGTATAGAATTTAAAACAAAAGTAGCGTTGGAATAAAAATTTTGATTAAAAAAAATTTTTAAAAAGTTACAAACTACGGAAAAATAAGAAAAAAATATGAATAATTAACAGAAAAAGTTTAACAAAAAAAATAATAATTTAATTTAAAAAAGCTGTAGTTAAGAGAAAAAGTAAAAAAATCTTTAAAATAAATTTTATGCGCTAAAATACAATAATAATTTTTTCTTTATTTCAAAATTCACCTATTTTAAATTATGATTCCCCTTTTTAAAAAATAAAATCCCCATTTTTACTTAGTATTACTTGAAAAAATCACAGAGACCCTTGAGATTATAAAGGATAGTTTTAAAAGGAAATGGAATATATGTGGAAAAAATTATTTTGTTTTTATCTTTAGATTTATAATTATAATAGAAATTCATAATAATTTTTTTTTAAATAAAATTATTTTTTTATCTTTAGATTTATATCTAATAGAAATTCTTATGTAATTTTTATATTAAAAAAACACTTGTCCGAATGTATTCGTATAAAAATTTTTTTACCTACTATTCCAATTCATAATAATTATTATTCAGACATTCAGTTATTTGTCAGTTCTTAGGTTTTTAGATTATCATCAGTTATAATTCAATATAATAATATTTCAGATAAATTATAATTTTTTATTATATAAATATTCATACAAATTTTCATACAAATTCAAAAAAAAAATATAATTAGAAATAAATCTTTTGTGTTAAATATTTACCCTCGAAGCTTTTTGTTTAGTTTAAACTTAAATTTCTTCCAAAGATTTTAACAATTAGAGATTTTGTTGCTTGAAAAAAATTGTTTTAGGTTCTAGCAAACACTTTCCAATTTTTTATAAAATATAATTTTTTTCCTTTTTCTGAAAAATTCTGAACTTTAGCTTTTTTTTAATAAAATGTTTATAATGAAATTTTTAAAGTACAAAAACTTATAATACAACGTTCAAAGAATGTTAAAAAATTTTTGTATGTAAATTTAATGATAAGTTTTTAAATTACAGAATTTTGAAAAGTGTTCCATTAATTATTTGTAAATCACGATTCGAAATGTTTTATTTTAAGTTCAAACTTAGTTTTAAAACACATTTCTGGCGTTAAGGACACAAAATCATCTTCGGAATTAAATATTATATTTAAAATAATGCTTTTGACTATAAATATGTTAGGATGAAATACATAAATGAAATGCAATTAAATGAAAGGAATAAATTTTTCTCAATATAATTCCTACCACATTGAAGTTGGTTGTTAATAAATTATTATACTGAAGAACTACTTGAAAATTTGAACATCGACTGTGCTCTTAAAAATTAACACCGCTACACAATATTTCAAATTTTAGCAGATCTAAATGAACTGGAAAAGAATCAATTAATTGAATTAAAAATGTCATAACATAATCTACTTGGTTATTCAATTTGTAAAGTAATTCGAAAAAAGTGCATAACCATGTTTATTAATGTAGAACATTTTTAATTAATGTTGCAAAAGTTTATGCCAGTGTCTTAATTAGTTTAATCATTGAAGCCGATAAAAATTGTTAACAAGGATAAGGGAGAATAGAATTAACAAAATTAATATTTAATTTAAGCATGACGTAGATGACATTTCGGTTGACACCAATTATCAGTGTTTCAAGGTCATCAATTGCACTCCATTATGCGAGTTGTATACGCGACTGCCATAAAAAAACTGTTAAAGATGTCTTCAATTTGTGACATTGTGCCAAATTAAGGCTTTCAAGTTTTTGCCTCCTCTGCCGCACAAAATGTAAAGAATAGAAAAGAATTATGTGCTATTCAATTATAATATGACACCAACTTTTAATGAATTCGATGTTAATTAGACGATTTTATAAAAACTGCTTTATAAGTATTAAAATATAGAATATTTTTTTTCAAATAAGTTTTGGGCTCGAACTAGGTCCGTAAAGTACGTAATTTGATCGAACAAGTGACGAAAAGTTCGTAAACTGTACGATATAATTTGAAGAATTATAGTAAAATTCAAAATGATTGCAGAAATTCAATTATTTTCAAAAGCAATAAAATTCTTCGCAAAAATTCAATTACGTTCAAAAACTATTAAACAAATTCTCGAAAAAATTTCAATTATCTTTAGACATAATAAAATTCTTCTTCAAAATTCAATTATTTTCAAAAAATTTCCTCAATTCAATGCTTTTCAATATCTACTATTTTAATAAAATTTTCAAAAGAATTCTATTATTTAAAAATTTTTTTTAAAAATTCTACTCAAACATTTAATTATTTTCATAAAATAATAAAAGTTTTACTAAAATTCAATTATTTACAAATTTTTTATAAATTTCTTCGCAAAAATTCAAATTTAAGAAACATTGAATTACTTAATAAATTATTTTGTTTTGCATTTAAATAATTTAATTCTAGTAGAATTTTGTAATAAAAATTGATTTAAAAATCAGTTAAAAACAAATAAATTTGAAAAATCTCAAAAAACTTTTTAAAAAATTATTAAAAATAATCGATTTATTGGAAAATTTTAGTTAAAAACACTTTAAAAAAATTTAATTTTGGAGAAATTACAAATTATTGCAGAAATTCAATCATTTTTAAAAGTAATAAAATTCTTCCCAGAAATTCAATTATGTTCAGTAATTCAAAACAATTCTCGTTAAAAATTTCAATTATCTTTAGAAATAATAAAATTCTACAAAATTCAATTATTTTCAAAAATTCTTGGCAAAATTTCAATTATTTTAAAGAATTTTTTTAAAAAATTCAATTATTTTAAAAAGTTGTAATAAAATTCCACGCAAACATTTAATTATTTTCATAAATCAATCAAAATACAGGAGTTCAATTATTTACAATTCTTTTGTAAATTTTTTCACAATAATTCAATTGTTTTTATGAATAATAAAATTTTTACACTGATTCAATTATTTTCTTTCATATTAAAATTATTTTTAAAAATAATCAATTTTTTATAGGGATTCAATTATTGTCGTTAATAATAAAAATTCTTTTTAAAAATTCAATTATTTTCATAAATTCTTAGAAATTTTATTAAAATTCGTCAAAAGAATTCAATTATTTAAAAATTTATTGATAAAATTCTTTATGACAATTCAATTTTAAGAAACATTTAACTATTCATTAAATGATTTATTTTTGTATTTAAATAATGGAATTTTCGTAGAATTTCCTAAGAAAAATTGATTTAAAAATGAATTTTAGTTAAAATTTTAAATAAGAATTGAATATTAAAAGCATAATAAGCGTGAATTTTTAGAAATAATTGAATTATGAAATTAATTTTTTTGAAAAAGTTCAATTAAATTTTTTTATATTATTTGCAGAAGTTTTTTTTCTAATAAATATATTTAATTGAAAAATTTACAAATAATTGAAAGTTCTTAAATTTAAATAGGTATTGTAAATAAATGGAATTGAAAATTTTCAAAGAACTGTTTCGAAAATTAATTATTGAAAATAATTTATTTAAAGAAGAATTTTAGTTAAAAATTCTTGAAAATAATAATTCAATTGAAATGATAAAAATAATTTTAAAGAAGTTAAAGTAACAATATTCTTATAATATAAAATAATTATTTTATCACTGGATCATCTTTAATTATTATAAAACATGAAGAAATTTTGTAAAATTCCG